CCCGCTCCCGTGTCCGTTAAGTGTCACAGATGTGTCAGTGCAAAACCTTACCCAGGGCACTCCTAACCGGCCAAGTCCCCTTCCTTCCCAGTGCGCAGCTTTCCAGCCTGCTGCCAGAGACATTGTCACAGAGGCCCAACACGAGCCAGACCTGCTCCGTGGTGCCGAGGGCTCAACAGAGCCCTCCAAGCTCCCTTTGCCACCCCACCCCGTCCACCACGCTGGGTTTGCGTGGTCGCCTTCAGGGAGGGAGGTTCTGCAGTGCAGCCGTCGCCTGTCCTGCTCCTCTCTCCTCCCAGGTCTCCGTGGGTTGCAAACCCCCATCTCTCCTTCGGCCCTTGGCCCCCTCCCTCACGTCGCCGCTTTGTTGGGCACTGGTGACAACTCGGCACCGTGGCCGCACTGGTGACAACTCGGTGGGCTCCAGAGGAGCTCAGGGATCCCCCTCCAGGGAGGTGTTCTGCTTACAGCTCCCCAGGGCACACGTATCTGGTGTTTGTGGACCTGGAGGGTGCTGGAGGTTCCCGCAAACCCCCCATTGCTCCCCGGGAGCCTTTCTCACCACGTCCCTGCTGATGTGGCACCGCTCCATCTCTTGCTCCTCTCTTCTCTCCCCTTTTTCTCCCGTTCCTGCTTTCCTCACCGGTGCTCTTCAGCTCCCACCCAGCAGCAGGACCGCAGAGAGAAGTTTCTCGGCTGGCCACCACCACTTAACCAAGGGACCACGTTCCTTGGGCGAGACACACTGGTGCTTTTAGACGCAGGGCAGGGCTCCCACGTTGCTGTGGGCAGAGTCCTGAGTGGACCTCGGCACTGCTGCGTGACCGCAGGAGCCGGGGTGCTCTCTCCTCCACCTGACTGCACCTTTTAACTCTCCAACACATCAGGTCCGTAACGCATCACATCTGCATGAGCGCAGCGGTCTGTCCCGCGTCCGGGAAATCCCCGACAAATGCACAAATTCCTCTTTCTACCCAGAGAAGATTTCTTCGTGGGAGAAGAGGACCTGTTGGAGGAACCTGAACGCAGGGGACCCTTTTCACAGGCCACGGGGTTTGGCCTTCCACTGCAACCTCCGTGGAGGAACCGTGTGTCCTGTGGTTCCTCCTTCTCTGTTTCACTGTGGATCAGGTTATGTGTGGGGTTGGGGGTGGGTTATTTTTCCTGTAAGTCTGTTCTGTGTCAGCCGAGTGGTGAGTGAAGAGCCCTGAAGGCGCGAGGGGTGGCGGTGGCCTTGGGGGCTGCGATGGCTGCGTATTGGAAGGGAAGGGCAGGCCAAGGGGCAGCCCGTCCCTTGCTCAGGGAGTTGCGGGGCGAGCAGAGCAGAGGCAGGGGTGACCTTCGAGGCACCAGCCACCCCTTTCTCTGCTCAGGAGCTCACGTGTGCGTGGGTGGGATCAAGTTCAGGAACCTTCCCCATTCCTGTCTCTGCCTGACACCAAGCTGGGGATGGTTGAGGGCATCTCCCACCCGGAGACCCTGTCCTGCCGGAGGGATGAGGAGGAGGATGGCGTCACAAGTAGCTGGGGCTGCCCCAGGTCCTCAGAGCCACAGAATGGTTGAGGCTGAAGGGACCTTGGAGGTCATCTGGTCCCGTCCCCCTGCTCAAGCCGGGCCACCTGCCGTGT